GGCACTAACTATAACAGTGGGGAGTCAAATGTGAAAGATTTAAGTGACTCCCCCAAGGCCAAGGGTCAAGAGATCCGCCCGAACCAAAACCTGGGTCTCTTGGTTGCATTGATCTGGCAATGGTGTATAGAATGGATTTGAAGAGAGACTACTATAATGAAATTTCTAAGACTTCTCTTAGTCTTAGAATAAGTATTACTTATTCTAAGTAGAATAGAATAAGAATAATAGAATAAGACTACTTTTGTCCACAATACTTATTTTTAAAGTCTGATTTTATACTATTAAATAAACTGTGGCCCAAAATGAATAAGATAATAATACCAACTCGTACAGCATTCTGGCAAGTAACTAAGTAATTTAGTATAGGCATATTAAAATTTAAGACTTAGCCTTATAATACAGAAACAAACTACTTCATCATAGAGAAAGCGTAGGGACTTGAAATACATTCTTTTGTAAAAGTAATAAGCTATTCTAAGACACAAATCTACAGGACATAATCCTCACAAATGAGCTTCCAAACAAGGCTTTTAAATGAAACTCCATCAGAGAAATCATTTGAGAAGCCAGATTCACATTTTATTAATGTGACAAGTATAACAAGATAAATATATCATATGACTCTCAAATGACATAATTAATGTAGTTTATGTGACATATTCCTATTAATGGTCTTTTATTATGTGTGAACAGTAAAATAACATTAGATAAGCAATGAAGAAATCCAATCAGCAGCAGCTTTCCTGAAGGTTTTGACTGCAGTCTTATTTACACAGTGTTATCTGATACTAATCCTTGGATTTTAAAGAGCAGAAATAGCTTCAGAATTATAAACAAACGTGTTCCTAGGAGATGAGCATTTTAATTACTATCATTTCGGCAAATATAAGATAAAAATAATGTGATGCATAATATAGTCTCTTGACTAAAGGTAAAAACAGGGGAAAGTATATTTTTCCAGGCCAATAAGGTTATATGAATAAAACAGTCATGACACTGGATGGGGTACCTGGTTGACAGAGCCTGGTACTATGTTTTAACCATGACTTCCACTGAGATTTTGCCGAAAGTGTGATTTCCCCCTCCCTACTATAATCTACAAAAGATTAGAAATGAGTGACAAAATATTCTGGTTTTCTTTAACAATCCACTACAGTCTGCACCTATGAATCAACTGAAATATAAGAAAGCCTAAAAGTACAGGTTTTAAAAATAGTTCTGATTTACTTTTATATCAAATAAGTATATATTATCCTTGGCACCAAAAAAAGAATTGTAAAATATGGTTCCTGAACTCAAGGAGTTAAGTGTAATAAGGAGGCAAGATATATACACAAATAGAGATATATGCACAAGGAGACCAAAAGATTACAACCAATAAAAGACAATCCACTTACAGAGGCACAGACTCTAAATGCTCCAAGAATTCAGAGGTAGGTAAAATCACTATGTTTTGTTTTTCTCAAGAGGAAAGGGGAGCGGGAAGAAGAGCAACTTGGTGCTAGTATCTAGAAGTGAGGGAGCAAAGCTGTGCTTAACTTTCATTTATTGGGATCATCTCAGCTTTATCTTTCTTGGATAAAAATCCCTGGTCAGAAAAATTCCCAAGTATAATGGTAAATAACACATGTTTTGAAGTAAATAAGGCCTGGTCCAATCCTAGCTGTGACCCTACCATGCTATGTTGACTGGGTAAGTCACTTCACCCCTCTAAACCTCAGTTTGCTTATCTGTAAAATGCAAATTATAACACCTATCACCTCATTGGATAAGAATTAAATGAACACATATAGGCCTATTAAAGATGACTAGCAAAGAACAAGCGCTTTTAAAATTATAGCTGTTTATCTGTATGGTATTAAATGCCATTCTTAGCATGACAAGATTGGGTTAACTGCCCAGAATCTTGCTCTATTTTAAACCACTTTTTTGAGGCATGATTGACATAGAAAAAGCTGTACACTTCTTTTTTTTAAGACAGAGTTTCATTCTTGTTGCCCAGGCTGGATTGCAATGGCATGATCTTGGCTCACTACAACCTCCGCCTCCCAGATTCAAGCGATTCTCCTGTCTCAGCCTTCTGAGTAGCTGGGATTACAGGCGTCGTCACTACACCTGGCTAATTTTTTGTATGTTTGGTAGAGATGGGGTTTCACCATGTTGGCCAGGCTAGTCTCGAACTCCTGACCTCAGGTGATCCACTCGCTCGGCCTCCAAAAGTGCTGGGCTTACAGGCGTGAGCCACCATGCCTGGCCAGCTATACACATTTAATTTATACAATGGAATGAATTTGGACATGTAAGTATACACTTGTGAATCTTGCTTTTTAGGGCAATTACATGGCTCTTGGTGGGAGATCTACTGTGCTCTAGAAGACTGGGACCTAAGGTCCTCATTGATACTAGGGGCAGAACATGATTACTTTTGTTCTGACAGTTTCTTTGTGAAAAGGTTGCAAACCCTAACTGAATATTACAGACTCACATCTTTAAAAAGCTTGTTTTAGTATTTAGATTAATCCAGCAAGTAAGCAGAGAAAAGAGAGGAGAGAGCTCCCCTTCAATCATATACCCCAGCTGCATGCTCGGTTAGAAACAAAGATATCTAGAACCTATAATCATTCTCTTACAATGAGCCTAGAATTTAGAAAAGCCAAAACTAGTAGTGACTGACAGGACACCATGATAGCAAGCACCACAAACGCTGCTTGGGGCAGCACTCTTTGGATGATCTTCCTAGCTTTGTTAAAATCACACCAATGCAGTATCACTTTTCATCTGTAGGGTAAATGGTTTTTAAGAAACCGTTTGGTAAAACACATGGCATGTGACTGTACCACTACAAATGTGTTAGCAGACCCAGCCAGAAACCATGGCAATGATCTGATCATGTGAGTATTCTGGCAAGAGTAAGAAAATAAACCCAATCTTTGTAAAGACTTACCGATGCCCTACCAGAGTAGGATATCTAATCTCTTCCAAGGGAGCTCCCATTTCCAATGTAGAAGAAGCAAGAATTGTTTTCAAGCTACCACCAAATAATCATATAGTATTTGATGGCTCAGCTTATTTTTTAATCTTCTATGAACTCTGAAGAATTGTATCTGGATCTTTACAACATGATGATATGAGATTATTAATACAGTGAAAAAATACAACCTTCTGGTATAGCAATTTAAGCATCACGGAGTGAGTAAATACTGCAGAGTGAATCCTAACACTTGAAACAGAATCTTCCAGAGTCCAGAAATCCACCTGACTGCCAAGAATAATACTTCCGTGGTTCAAGCAATACCAGTACCCAGAGGGGTTTCCACAGACATAACCACATGAGTTACTGCATATTGGGTAAAATAGAAAAAGCAGACGTTTATGAATGTACAGTTTGCAGACATCTTAAAACTACTCATAAACATGCAATTTACAAATATAGAAGAAATGGGGGACTTTAGGAATACGCAGCATCTGTTTAAATTGCTTAATTATATGGTTTCTTCTATGAGTTTTCCTCATTCTATCTGTGTTGGGGTTGGAGGTGGGGGTGGGAAATATATGGGTCTCTCAACCAAAGTAAATGAAATCAATCTAACTGAAAGAAGCTCTATGATGAGAACTATTATAATATATGAAAGATTCTTGACTTCAGGATGAGGTAGAAAAGACAGGGTCAGAGGACAAAATCCCATCAATTAGATATCAAAGAAAACCTTTCAATTCACCAGGCTATGCTGAGGCAGGGTTTGTTAGATTCTCCAGCAATAAAACAAATGCACAATATCTTCTCATGCACCTCACACGATTTCTATTTCAGTTCTGATATAAAACACGGTATCACACGTCATGCCACAAAGAAAAGAGTCAGTTTAGCTCGTTCAAGTAAAAACCAGGCAGCTGCTAACAGAGACAGGTCAAGGCTGGGGAGGACCACAGCACATTCAGTTTGCTATGTTTTCCTTCAGAAGAATGTCAATAAAACCCACGGCCAAATGAAGTATTTGAAGTTTAAAAAAAAAAAAAAAAAGTCCTGTTATGCAGTGAACAACTGGGTTCACCTAACAGTTAGGGGCAGTCAGACAAGTTAGCAAAAGGGAGCCCTAGCCAAATGTACAGCAGCCAACAACTTGAAGAAAGCTGTCTTTCTCCCTCGACGTCCTAGGGTAGGGACCAGTCCCACATTTAGAAACGTTATTTCTGGGACCAATAGCAATTTATTTTGATAGAACTGCTGGATTTTTTTTTTCTTGAGTTCTCAACAAAGGAGCCATATTAGGAAATAATCTCACAAAAAGCAAAGTGCCCCCTCCCCCTTTTCCCCATGATCGATTCACACACGCTGGTGCACGCTGACACGCACAGACACACGCCCGTGCACAATGGCCAGCGCAGGCACTCGCACGGGCCCACGAGGCCTCAGGAGCCCCGCAGGCTGAAGGCCCGGCTATGGCCAGCCCCAGGCGCTCAGGCAGGAGGCCCCTCGGCCCGCTGCCCCGGAACCAGCTGCTGGGCTGGTGTGCTGGGGCTGCTCGCCCCCCAGCGGGGCCCTGGGGAAACAGCTGCCAGCGGCTCCGAGCCTTTTAACCCCTTGGGGAAATAGGTGTTATAACACCACCTGCGGGGCCTGTGTCGGGGTGCAGCCTCAAATCCACTCCCGCCCCACGCCCCGCCATGGGGCAACACCTAGCAGCTCTTGGCTGGCTCTCGCAAAGCTAATCGTGTCACTGTCTGCACAGGACTTCTAAAGCAAACGGGTGTTTCTGAGCTGTCACCCCTGGGGGTCCACGCATATCACGAAGGAAAAACTTAGAGGGCAGTGGATGCAGACCAGACTTGGTAACTCGTCCCTAAGGGACTGATGCAAGTCCTAAAGGGACCAGGGCTGTTTGGACCAGCTGGCCCAGCGAACTACGGAAGGGGTGGAAAGACCTGAAGGCAACCGCCCCGTGTCACCCTTCCCCGGGTTAGGCTTTGGGGCCCCGTCCGCTCTCCAGGACACTTACCTTCTTCCGGGGCTGCCATTTCATCATATTTGTAAAGCCGATACGTGGAACATCAAGATGTTGGCTGGGGGCTGGGGGCAGATGCAGGGCAGCGACGACTGCAAGTCATGCTGCCTCCCTCCCACCCCCTAATTCTTTCCCATATTCACTGCAATGGGAAAAGCCCCAGGAGAGTCCAGTCTTTTCGCCTTCAGTTCAATGAAAAGTATCCCCAAACCACGAACACACTTCCCACCAGGCTAGGAAGTCCCAGCAGCCACCGGCGTACTCCTGCCAGAGCGGGGCATTTTCCCGGCCGGTGTCTGCAAAAGGAGCCTGCGGCAGGGGGTCTCCGAGCTGACTGCAGAGACCCTCCCTCAGAGAAGAGACCGAGAACGCGAGCTGCTACAGAATCCCAGCCGGGCTTCTGCCATCCAAACCCCTTTTGGCGAATTCTCCTCTTCTCAGAAAAGATTAGACAAGCAATCAAACCCTCACGCGCAGCCTGGAGCAATTCCCACAATTCTGGGTGTATTTCTCGTTTGTAAAATTTAGCAAAGAAAATTCCAAAGATCTGTAATCAGAGCTTCTTTACGCTGTTTTCGCTTCCTTCTTGGATAACTTGGGAAAAGGATCTGCCCTTCTCGAAATGCCTACCTTCCCTGAACACTGTAAATAGGAAAACTTGGTTTGTGTGTTTAGATTTTTTTTTTTTTTTTTTTTTTTAAATTCCCAAGAACCTTAGTGGGGAAAGGCTGGAAGGAAATCCTGCAAGAACCCAACTCCACAGCTCAGTCTGCACTAATGACTTCCTTCCCTTCAGTGCGAGCACAGCCAGCCCAGCTCCAGCCACACAGAGCAAACGGTTTCTGGGTCTTAGTGCCACGACATCTGCTCCAATATAAAAAGTAAAGCATGCAGTTTCAGAGGCACCCAACGGCTCCTAAAGAATCAAAGCCAAAAACACTTACGTGGTCAGGAAATCATTTCAAAAGACATACTTAGACTTGTAAGGCAGCTATATCTAGAGGGAAAAAAAGGAAAAGGAAAGTACTCTAGGCCAAAATCTTAATTTCTGATTTGAAGAAAAAAGATTTGAAGTATCTGACAGAATAAAATATTTTAATCAAGAATTTTACCCCCAATGAACTTTAATAGATTCCATTTGTTCTCTAAATTTAGCACTAATTTCATTACTATAAAAAATATTTCTATGGGGATTGAGTTTCATTCATCTTCTGTGAAATTATTCCATCCTATTTAAGGGGATACATCTACAAATATAAAAATATTATATAATTCTATTATTTACCATCCAACATGTCTACCAACTCCTAAACCACCATAAAGCTGTTTTGATAGTTGGGAATATAACAGGTAAACTACTAGAATACCAACTAATATGCACAATAATGGTAACTGATGTACCAATGGGCCAACAATGTTTAACTTATTACCCTCAGACTTCTGTATGCATTCCCAGGATTGGCTAATGTGGGAGATTATATGCAGATTGATCACTAGCTATATCAGTATAAGTAAGCCATTAAAACATCCAAAACAATTAGTTAACTCAAAGGGACTGCTTTTGAGTTCTTTTCTACGCCTGAGAATCTGAAATTCAATAGAGGGCATTATCTTTATAATAATAATATTAACAATTTTAGCTGAATGAACAGGTACTATTTATTGAGCCACTAATCTATGCTAGAACCTATGCCTACATTCATTATCTCACAGCCCTGCAAGGAAGGTCTTTTTTTTTTTTCTTTTTTTTTCTTTTTTTTTGAGACGGAGTCTCGCTCTGCCGCCCAGGCTGGAGTGCAGTGGGCGGATCTCAGCTCACTGCGAGCTCCGCCTCCCGGGTTCACGCCATTCTCCTGCCTCAGCCTCCGGAGTAGCTGGGACTACAGGCGCCCGCCACCTCGCCCGGCTAGTTTTCTGTATTTTTTAGTAGAGACGGGGTTTCACCGTGTCAGCCAGGATGGTCTCGATCTCCTGACCTCGTGATCCGCCCGTCTCGGCCTCCCAAAGTGCTGGGATTACAGGCTTGAGCCACCGCGCCCGGCCAGGAAGGTCTTATAGTTCCATTTTCCAGACACTGAGATTCAGAGTGCTCATTTACTCAATCAAGACCACACACGTAGAGCATAATGGGGCTAGAATTCAGACCCCCAGTGACCCTACCAGAGCTTATGCCTTTTCTAGGACATGCATCATAGCTACATGCCAACTTCTCATCTCAATAAACTTACTAAGTACCACTGACTTAAGCACCTATTATTTCACTGCCAGTCCCTGTTCCAAGTACTAGAAATATGAGTAAGATGTTGTCCCTGCTCTTGAGAAGATTACATAACTGCAGGTGGCAGTCACAAATAACTCCAGTACTCTGTATATATTTGACATATCAAAATCATTCTGGACAACTTTACTTGGATATGCTACTAGCATAGAAAGATCAATAAATTCTAAACTAAATTCATCAATCTACTCCAAAATCAGCTTCTCTTCCCAACTTTCCTTTCTCTATCTACAACATCATTATTATTCCAGGATCACAAACTAAAACCTAAACATCATTCCTTATGTGTAGTCTATCACCAAGTCCTCTCTCTTTTTTCTTAGACATCGCAAATTCCTACTGCTGACATCTGAAGCCAGAGCCTCACAAAACATACATTAAGTACCAACTATTTGCAAAGCATCATGTAGGATACAAAGGTATAAGACTCAGTCCTTATGCTAGAGAAAGTTACAAAGAAGTTAGGACAGAACCAAAAACCTATAAGAAGACAACCAGGCACTCACTGTTTAGTCAGCTGAGCAACAAATGAGTTATGTGGTCAATAATTTCAGGTTCTCCAGGAATTACCAAGGATAAATCATCAAAAACTGGGATGGTCAAGGAAGACCTCATGAAGAAACTTGAAGTAAAAATTCAGAGGAGACACAACTTAGTCTGGAGCCAAAAGCCAAGGTGCTTACCATGGACTGTAATGCCCTTCAGGATCTGGACCCCTCCACCTTTCTGAGCTCACCTTTTACCCTTTTCCTATTCCCTTACTCAGCACCTACCATACTGCCCTCTCACTGTCCACTGAACATGCCAACCATACACTTCCGCTCTCTGCCTGGATTACTCTTCCTCCAGATGCCCTCTTGGCTGCCTCCCTAAGTCCCTTCAGGAGTCTATTCAGATATCATATAGAAAGGCTATCTCTCACAATCTCACCTAATACACACTGACTCTAACGCTGTTTCTTTCTACCCTACTTACCCTGTTACATTTTCCTTCATAGCCCTGATGCTATATATATCTACACACACACACACACACACACGTATTTCTAAAATGTTCATTCACACCACAAGAACATAAATTCCAAGGGAGCAGGGACTTGACTCTGTTATAATACCAACACCCAGTGAACAGTGTCTGACACCCAGCAGGCAATCAGCCAATATTTGTTGAATAAAACAATAAAAGAAATAGAAAAAAGAAAATGAAGAGAATAGTGTGAGCAACGGAGGCAGACATGTTTAAGATGTGTTCAAAATACAAAATAAAAATACCGACTCATTATCTAAAATACAAGTATGGGGATGTTAGAGGCAGGGACTTTGTCTTGTTCAACTTTGTAATCCCTAGTGTCTAGAACAGTGCCTGGAACAGAAGACGTACTCAATATTTTTAAGGCAAAAGAATGAACGAGGTATGAGGGTGGGAGGATGGAAAAGGAATAGTGAATAAATTCCATTCCATTCCATATAAAGATACTTTGGCAAGGAATGTTGGAACCAAATGGCTGGGAACGCTGACTCTAAGATGATGTAGTTTGAATGTTTATCCCCTCCAAATCTCATGTTGAAATATAATCCCCAATGTTGGATGTGGGGCCTGGTGGGAGGTTTGGGTCATGGAGCTGGATCCCTCATGAATGGACTTGGTGCTGTCCTCATTCGGAGTTAACTTGAGATCTGGTTGTTTAAAACAGTGTAGCACCCCACTAGCCCCGTATCTTGTTCCCGCTCTTGCCATGTAATGCACCAGCTCCCCTTTTGCCTTGGGCCATGACTGTAAACTTCCTGAGGCCCTCACCAGAAGCAGATGTTAGTGCCATGCTTCCTGTATAGCCTGCAGAACCATAAGCCAATTAAACCTCTTCTCTTTATAAATTACCCAGTCTCGGGTAATTTATAGCAATAAACAGTCCTGTATAGCAACGCAAAAACACACTAACAGATAAGGCAAAGAAATTTGGACTTTATCCTGTAAGATGCAGAGCACTGAAGCTATAAACAGTAGGAAAAGGGTATAGTTGAAACTGTATTTTTAAGCAATCTAATATATAATAAAATATTAATTATGATTTTATGGAGCTGTTTTTTCTGACAACTCTGTGCCTGATTAAAATGCTTATTATGACCATTTGACAGAAAACAAAACTGAAGTTCAGAGGACCTAAGTAACCTGTGCAATGCCACAGAGCCAGTCAATGGCAACAGAAGAGCCAGAATCCAGGGCTCTTGCTTATAAACCACTGCCTGGGTGATGGGGCTTATAAACCACTGCCTGGGTGATGGGACAATTGCTTTAAGAGTTAAGAGAGAAGTCTCTACTTTCTTTACTCTACTTCTGACTTGCTATATAACAAAAGTTTTCAAAAAGGGAAGGCAAGTAACATAAATAAGTGAAACAGAGACAGGTTAAAAAAAAGGGAATTGTGAGGATTGTAAACCTAAAGACACACGAATCATGTTAAAAGAGGCACTGCTAAGCAACTCAATTGATATCCTTTAGAAATATCAGTGCAGCAATATCAGATCCTCTAAATTTTCATGAGAAGCTAAAAATTTCCTAATTTTTAACTGTTTGGTCAAAAATTCTAAAGCATCCTAACAGGCCAAACAAAACATTCCTATAGGCCTAAATTCCATCTGCAAGTCCTAATTTGTGACTGTTGATTTAAATCACTCAAGGCTTCAGTTTCTCATACATAAATTAAGAGATCCAGTAGTTCCTAATCTGTTGGGGTGATTTTTCTGAACACATCGGTGAATCCATATGCATACCACACATGGTATGTAGACTGAAGGCTCAGTCTTAGGTTCAGATGGTGCTGGACTTAATAAAAAGTTATTTAAACTGGGGGTGGGAATACAGAATCTGAGGACAGTAAACTGTATCAAGAAAGGAGAAAATATATTTATGTTTCTGTAGAAATAATCGAAAACTTCAAAGTGATACAAGGCTTTAAACTGGTTTTCAATTTTTTAGGTGTATTTCCTTTGGGTTGCTTACTTGTGATCTGTATAGCATTTCTTTCCCTGCTGTCTGGTGAGTATTTTGGCTTTTGTTTAATAGGTACCACTCGACAAAGGACTATCACCTAAAGTCTTTAAATACCCACACCATCTTAAATTACCTTATTTTTTCTTCTTTCTTTCTTCCCCTTAATCCAAATTGCACCTGTATTTACACCTGAAATATTTACAGAATTACTATTGTATCAATATATTTTTTCAATAGGAATGATTTATATGGAGCTACCAAGCCAGCATAGTTCAGAATGTTAAAATTTAACATTATTGTTTCAAAGATCCACCGTCAAACAGTAATTATACATTTTCCCAGGTCTGTAGGTATTTTTATGTCTCCTTCATTTTTTAACATAGCACTTTGCAGATCACTTCTCTAAATGCAAATACTGTAGAACAGTCTATTAAAATAGTATTTTACTCAATAACCACTTGCCTATTCAAATCTGAACAAAAGCAAGAAAGAGAAAATGAAGAAAACACATCTTTTTCCATGGTAAATTTCTTCAAGATTTCCTAAGGAGTGACGTATCTGACATTGATCAAAGGGTAAATGCCTCAAAAGGTTAGCCTCGTACTTATTTACATTTATTGTGTTTTAGGAGTAGAAATTTGAAAAATTTGTTCAAATTTTGAACCAATTCAAAATTTGTTCGAAAATTAACGTACAAATTTTGTTCAAACTTTTGTTCAAAAATTTTCCTACAGACCTCTAAATTATGTTCAAGTATCTAAGGAGGTGTTAGGAAAATAAAGGAACAAAGGTAGAAGTGTATTTGACACCAAAAAAATGTTGCCTCATTGGTGACATTTCACACAGTTGGGTAATCTGAGAATCTCAAGGCCTCACTTTGCTAGAAAAGAAATTGAAATAACTTGTTGCAGGAAGAATTCTGCCACACAGCCCAGGTGATGCAGGACCATGCTCCCATTCCCCCAGCAGAAAACTGCTACAGATCACTCCACAACATTCAAAGCAGATCACCTCTGACCTTACCCATCTCACTTCGTTCCACGATCAGGCAGCTCCAGACAGGCTGAAGTTCCACCCCTTAAATTCAACACATTTACTGAGTACTTGTTAGGTACAAGGCAGTGTTGTAGACACTGTGAGAAAAGAAAAATGAACCAGATGATTTTGCCTTTGAGGAGGAAGGAGTCTGGTGGAGGTCAAAAGAGAAGATAGTTACACAACTAATAAAAATAATAATAACAATAGCAGCTAACACTGACTAATCTTGCTATTTATCTGACTCTTAAGAGCCCAACTCTTAGCCCAAGCTACGTGCTAGAAGAATGGGAATAACTAGTGGCATATTCTGTCATTAAGTCTAAGGAAGCCCTAAAGAGTAATTACGTCTGAGTGTAGTAACTGAGAAAGGTTTCACAGGAGAGGTGGCACAGTATTCTCTCAACAAGCAGGGAACACAGCATGAGCCAAATCATGGAGGTATAAAAGTGTGAGCTACATTAGCAAGCATCTAATAGATCTG